GCAAGGCAGGTGGTAGCACCGCTGAGCTAAATCCCCAGCCCGAAAAAATATTATATACATGAAACAAAGATTAAGATATTATTTAAAGTGGAACATTCAGAGAATAAGAATTTTTTTTTTGACAATAAGAATTTTTAAAAATTAAAAAAGTTAATACCAAAATAGAAAATTAAGGGGCTGGGGATTTAGCTCAGTGGTTCCACTGTCTGCTTTTGCAAGTGCCAAGGACCCGAGTTCGATCTCCAGAACCAAAAAAAAAAAAAAAAAAAGAAAAAAAAGAAAAAGAAATTAAGTAGAAGAATTAGAAAATAAAATCAGAATAACATCTTCTAGGAAGTAGGATAAAGGCAGAGACGTGTAAAGCAGGAGAGAAAAAAAATGAGAGGCTCAAAGAGGTCTAATGTCCAATCTAATAGAATACAAGAAAAGGAAAGAACCTGAGGGAAAAAATATTTTTGAAGAAATACTTGAAAAAAATAAAACATTCCCAGAAATGAAGCATATAACTTTCCACAGTGGAAGGGGTTACTAAATGCTAAGAACAAAGGCTAAAAAGGGACTCACTACAAAGCACACAATCATAAAATATCAGAACAGCAGCAATGTAGAAAGGTCTTTAAAAGGGGTGGTAGTGATTTATACAAAGGTTCAGGAATCACAGTGCTCTCCTATGTCTGAAAAATAAGATTTAGGCGTGACAATAGGGTGATGTTTTTCATACTTGGGGTAAAATTATTTCCAAACTAGAGTTCTATACCTGCTATATGCACATTCGAAGGTAGAATAAAGGCATTTCCGATTGTTACTACTATATATCCTTTCTCAGAAAGCTGTGCTCTCTGGTAGAAGAGAAAATCTGGTAATAGAAAGAAGCAGATTCACATACGGAGAACAGAGGCTATAATGTAGATGAGAAGCACAGGAATTCTCAAGATGAGCCCATGCAGCTGATCTTAAGAACCACCAATCCAGATCTGGAGCAGAACGACCAGGGGTGAGAATAAAGAGATTATTTGTGACCTCTGATCCTATGGAAAGTATTATTAAGAGGGAGTTTATGATTTTTTGAAAAGTTTGGGAAGAACTAAGGCAATGTACTTAAAATACTGAGCCAATGAAAAAAGGAGGCAATTATTAACTCAAGGGTGGGGAAAATTATATAAAAAAGAAAAAGTAATCATGGGATTCTACCCAGCTTAGTAGTAAACATAACAGTATGAACACTGACAGATGATTTAGCAAAAGAAAAACAAAACTGAACAAACAAATTTGTGACACACAAACCCCTTGCTCATAGAATGGGGACAAGGCAAAAAAGAAGCACTGTGCAAATGGGCTGAATCTTTATCTTCCATAAGAAGGTCACTACTGCTTTTAATTTAAGATGAACTCTTCGCTACATTTTCCCATCTCTGAAATTGGGAATCATAACTGATGGCTGCTTTTACAATATAACTGGCAGTGTTTTCTTTTGGTGATACACAAAGCTAATATACTTGATAGTTCATTAAATATAGCTGAGGTCTTAAACTTATCAACCAAGGAAAAGTGATTATAAGGATGCTATTTAAAAACATAAAGGTAAAATTCTGGAAGCAATTAGAAGAACATAAAGTCCTTTTCCCTGGAAATTAGGATTTAAGGGTGGCATTTTGTGAACTACTTGACTTTTAAACTTGTACTTACGTTAATCTTAGTAAAAATTATTCATATTTAAAAAGCAAAGAAATTATGTAGCAGATCCAAAACAATAAGCATGTTGCTTCAGACTTACAGACGGAGGTTTATCCACAACAATTCCAGCAAGCAACTGAGATTGTGGTCCTGCTGTTTTCAAGTCATATCGGTTTTGCTCTCGAATCTGAAATGAAAAACAAGTTCTTGGGAGCAATTGTGAAGATGACCTTTGGCTGCTCTGTTCCTATAAGCTTATTATTCGACACTTCTACACTTGATCTTAGCCAAAAGGCCAAGAAGCGATTATTATTTGACACTTCTGAGTAAAAGTCTCTTCCTATCTCGCTTCAATAAAGACCCCCTCACCATCCTAATACTCACATTAATCTCTGCCCTTCTTGGAATGTGATTTCCTATTACCTTACACTGTTAACTGCATTTCCCTCTAATAGCAAGTCCCCTTAAGGCAGGAATATGTTTAATACTTCTTTATGCAGCCTGCTCACCAATGATTAGCACAGGGGTAAAGATAATCAATACAAGTGGAAAATATTGAATTAAATTCTTCTGTATTCACACTTCTAAATTTGACATTAATCAAGTTTAATCACTAACAATTTAAACATAAAAGTGGACAAAAATGTCTCCTCTGGCCAGAGGACAATGTCGTACCTTGTTTCTTTTTTCTACAACCTCATTTGGGTTTGTGTTTAAAGGAACAAACTGATTGGGATCTTCAATTTTGATAGGTGTTCCACTACTAACTTTAGAAGAATCCTCTGCTTTCATCCACTAAAGGAAAGAAAAGTCTAGAATGAAGCTTTGTGTTAAGAAAATATTAATAGGCATTCAATAACTGTTTCTAGTTTTAAGGGAGGAATATATCATCCATCTTTTACACTGTGCAGTATCTTAATGGTTAATTTACACCTCAATACCAGTTCAATTAATTTATTCCTCACATTAGAGAGAGGCTCACAAAAAGCATCCACTTCACTTTTTTTTTTGGTAGCAGAGATTGAACTCAGGACCTTGCACTTGTGAGGCAGGTGGTGGCACCACTGAGCTAAATCCCTGGTCCCCATTTAAAAAAAAAATTATCAAATGCTGATATCATTCACATAATTATACTGCTAATTAAACATTCTCCTCTTGACAACTGAAAATATGATAGCACTGTAAAAAACTGAAGCACAGGCATAGAGCATGAACTTAACATATTAACTCATTCAGAGTTCTGGCTCCTGTACTAAATTTCATCAGATGATGAAGGCCATGAAGTCACAGGAGAGGACTCTTCAGATAGTTTTCCAGGCTTTACTTTTTATTTTTTGCCGATAGAAAAGACTAAGACTTTTATCAGCATTTTAATGGGGATGAATTCTGGTAGGATGCAGCATAATAGGTCCATAGGAAGGATCTCATATAGTTTCCATTTACTCCACACTATGACCCTTTATTTTTTTGGGGGTACCAGGGATCGAACTCCGGACTGCGCTTTCGAGGCAGGTGCTGGAACCACTGAGCCAAATCCCCATACGTATTTAACAAGATTTATGATGACTGGCCATCAGTCTCTGTCAACAAAATGAATTCGTAGAGAATTATGAGTTTAATTACTTTCTTTTACTGGAGACAAGAAGTCTTTTAGACTAGGGAAAAAACACTCTGATGCCTAAGCATTTCCACATTGAATGTTACTGGTTTATGTGATGGGACAAACTAATTTTGAATAGCTAAAGAATATTTACGCATGGTAAGTACTCCAAAACCAGGTCAAATCTAAAGCAAAATTCTAAAAAAGAAAAAACAACCATTTCTCCACCTACAAGATCTTACACAATGGTAACTTACACAGAGTAATTCATGTAATTGTGGCATATTTTGGTGCTGATAACTTTTACAGCTCTAATTTGTGAGTGCAATATAAACTACACAGAAATCATGTAGTAAGCCAGAACTAGGCTTGAGGCAGACTGTCAGCACTCAAATTCTGACTTTACCATTAAAAATTATTAGTTAGTCCCAGGTACCTAGGTATTCTCATCTATCAAGCAAGGAGAAAAACAGCACCTGTTTCATATTAGGAGAATGAAATGAGATTATGCATGTGTGGCACTTAGAATAGTGCTTTAAATAAAGCTAATACTTGACAAATACTTTCTAATAGTAAATTCTGCTTTCTCAATAATTCAGATACAGATCAGTTCATGAGGAAGTAGGCAGAACATTTAGTAAAGGTAAACAATGCAAAGAGAAGCATACTGTGATTTTGGTCCTGGGGCTGGTCTCCGTGTGGCGAGAGCCCTCGGGCACGTTCACTTTCATGTAGGTATTGGGTGAGTTCAGCCACCTCGTTTTCTCACGCTGCTGTCTCTGTGCCATGTACTTGAGAGGAGAGAGTGGCACTGTGTCGTCTTCAAAGGAAAAAGCAGTCACAGTTGCTGGGATTTCCACATCACTCTTGTGTCGAGGCTTCTCTCGAATGAGAGGATGCCTATAAGCATAGCCTGTTCTATATCCCTGAGGAAGGGAAAGCCGCAGCTGAAGCAATCAAATCTGTACCAACACAACATCTGAAGCTTATTTCTTCAAACAAATGATTCAAAAAGACTCTTCTTGAAAAACAAAGAGGAAAACATCTTTTAAAACCCCACTATAACCTCTCCATCACACCAGAGTTGAAGTTAAGCAAATTTCAAGATCTGGTTAAAACTGATTTCAGCTGGGCTGGGGATTTAGCTTAGTGGTTCCGGCGCCTGCCTCGAAAGCACAAGGTCCTGAGTTGATCCCTGGTACCAAAACAAACAAACAAAAAACCCCCCAAAAAACAAACAAACTGATTTCAGCTGGTACTCTCATTTCCACTCATACAACTGTTCCTGACAAAGGAAATTTTGAAACTGCTGACCAGAAAAACTTTCCTACCTATAATGTAGTTTTTGGGGAACTAAATCTCAGTGCTCATTTAAGTCTTTGTCCCTGGTTCTGAAGGGAATTTGCCTTCTGACCCTTCTTGGAAGCGGGCAAAATCTAAGACAAGGTGACATTTGTCAGGCCAACAATGTAGCTCAGTGGTAGAGTGCTTACCTAGCAGGCATGAGGCCCTAGCTCTGCAAAGAAGAAAAAGAAAAGCAAAAGCTGAGCATAGTGACACATGCCAGTAATCCTAGCTCTTGGGAGGTATAGTTTAGAGGATCCTAAGTTCGAGTCCTGCCTAGGCAACTTAGTGAGATGCTACCTCAAAAAATAAGAAATTAAAAGAGCTGGTGATGTAGCTTACTGTGAAGGCCCTGGGTTCAATATCTACTACAAAAAAAAAAAA